CAGGTACAAACTTTTTATAATGTATTATCTCCTAACATTAAAATTACTCTAGATGCAGCTGCAGGTGGATCTTTTAAAAGAAAAGAAATTGATGAGGCATATGACCTAATAGAAGAGCCAAGCAAAACAGCCACTACCAAAAATAATTACGACAAAGAGAAGAACTGCAGGGGTTATGAAATAGGACGCCATTACAGCACTTAATCCAAAGTAGATAACATGGTAAGGAAAATTGGCCGAATGTATAATACTAAACGCTACTTGTGAATGCTGTTATGCAAATTTGTGATAGGTGCAATGGACAACATGGAAATTTGGGGAATGCATGCATGGATCTTTAAATCCACATACTTTGGAGCAAGTGAACTATGTGATGAATTCAAGGAAGAAAGAATTAACCCTTATTCAAATTCATATGTAACAGGTTAAGAATCATCACTAATCTTTCTATGGTATCCTAAACAATGCCTTGAATTGCACCACCACAGTTTCCACCCTCCAGGAAAAGAATCCCATTGATGAATCTCATGACGACCTCCTCACTGCTCTTTCCAAATCACACATGGAATTCATGAATGAAACTAGAGAGAACCATAAAATCCAGCAGGCTGCAATAAGGAATTTAGAAATCCAATTGGGACAATTTGCAAACATGATGGCATCTCGACCTCAAGGTACGTTACCTAGCAATACTGAAAAGAATCCCAAAGAACAAGTGTAGGCTATTACCTTGTGGAGCGGCAAACAATTAGATGAACCACCAAGGAAAGAAAAGGAAGAAAAAGAACAGCCAAAGGTGCCTATCATTGACGTAGAAGAACAAGAAAAGGTAAAACCCTATGTTCCTCCTATTCCCTTTCCCCAAAGATTAAAGAAAGCACAAGATGACAAGAGCTTCCTCAAGTTCCTGGATGTGTTTAAGAAGCTCCAAATCAATATTCCTTTTGCTGAAGCTCTTGCCAAATTGCCTGCTTATGCTAAAATTCTTTAAAAATTATCCTGAGCAAGAAACGAAAAAATTGGATGATCAAGGACGGGTTAATGTTAACCGAGGAGTGCAGTGCAATTATCCAATAAATTGCCTCCAAAGTTGAAAGATCCAAGAAGTTTTTCTATCCCTTGCAATATTGGTAATCTTGATTTTGAAAAAGCTTTAGCAGATTTGGGTGCTAGCATTAACCTTATGTCTTATGAAGTTTTTAAGATGCTAGGAATGGGAGAGCTAAAGCCAACGAGGATGTCTCTACAATTAGCATATCGATCAATCAAATATCCAAGAGGAATTGTAGAAGATGTGCTTGTAAAGGTAGGTAAATTTCTCTTCCCTGTCGATTTTGTTATTCTTGATATTGATGAAGATAGGTAAGGATCCTTAATCCTTGGAAGGCCTTTTCTTACAACTGCAAGAGCATTAATTGATGTATATGAAGGCAAATTAACTTTGACGGTTGGTCAAGAGGAAATTGTTTTTGATGTTCTTAAATCTTGTAAACTGCCTATGGACTATAATGATTGCTTTCGAATTGATGTTGTTGATGAATGTGTGGAAAGTTGATGAATGTGTGGAAACCACTTTGCATGTTGAAAATAACATTAATGAATCAAGCGTCCTGAATGAAAAAGAAAAGGAATCACCTAAGCATGAACTAAAACAACTTCCACCTCATTTAAAACATGCACTTTTAGGTGAGGAGCATTCTTTTCCTGTTATTATTTCTTCTCACTTAACACTTGATCAAGAGGAAAGGTTGTTGCAGGTTCTACGTAGGCATAAGAAAGCATTAGGGTGGTCGATCTCGGATCTACAAGGAATAAGCCCAAGTGTGTGCATGCATAAGATCTTGATGGAAGAAGACTACAAACCTTCAATCACAAACCTTCAATCGAAACATCAAGGCGATTGAACCGCGAACATGAAAAGAGGTAGTCAAGGCGAAATTAATTAAACTCGTTAGATGCCGGCATGCATTTATCCAATTTCAGACAGTAATTGGGTGAGTCCTGTCAAGTTGTTCCAGAAGAAGGGAAGGTATGATTGTTATTTCCTAATTGAAAACAATGATTAATCCCCACAAGAACAGTCACAGGTTGGCGTGGTGTGTATAGATTATAGAAATTAATGGCAAGATCACTTTACACCTTACCCTTTATTGAAATGCTTGAACAGACTTGCAGGATTCCCTTTTTTATGTTTCTTAGATGGCTATTCAGGGTACTTACCCAATACCTATAGCCCCTAAAGACCAAGAGAACCTACATTCACTTGTCCTTATGGCACTTTTTGCCTATAGGAGAATGCCTTTTGGGGCTATGCCAATGGCCCCTGCAACCTTCAAAGGTGCAAATGAATGTCCATTTTTTTCTGATATGGTGGAAAAATTTATTGAAATATTCATGGATGATTTTCTGTATTTTGGTTCTTCCTTTCGATGCATGCCTTCATAATTTATCTTTAGTGATGCCAACGAGTGAAGATACTAACCTTGTGTTAAATTGGGAAAAATGTCAACTTACATGGTTAGTGAAGGTATTGGTCCTATGGCATAAAATCTCTCAAAGGGGTGAAGTAGAACAAGGCAAAAATTGAGGTAAAATTGAAACTACGCTCCCCTAACACAGTGAAGGGCATAAGAAGTTTTCTTGGCATGCAGGATTACAGGAGATTCATAAGGGATTTCTCAAATCACTAAACCTCTTTGCAATCTACTAGTTAAAGATGTTCCTTTTGAATTTAACAAGATTGTTTAGATGCTTTTAACAGTTAAAGAGGAGTTAATCCAGCCTTCTCTGATCATTCACCACACCAGATTGGACTTTACCCTTCTTTTGAACTCATCGTGTGATGCTAGTGATCATGCTGTAGGAGCCCTGTTCTTGGCAAAGAAAAGACAGGAAGTTGATGTTATCCTATTTGCAAGTCCGCACATTGAATTGATGCACAATTAAGATTATGCAACCTACGGAAAAGGAACTGCTAGCTTGTTTTTTGCTTTTGACAAATTCAGGGCATTCTAATTGGAGCTAAAACAATAGTCTACACAGATA